TGAGGACCAGACAACTAGAGACTACCCCCATAGCCCAGAGCTTGGCGACATTACTCAAACTAGACAATCCTAAATTGTTGCCCCTGCCTGGTTCTGCCTTTTCTAAAGAAAACATGATAAAGGCTCTGGGTCTAGGCTTTTTCCCTTCTGCCTAGGCACTCATTCTGCCTCCTGACCAAATCTTGAGACATCCCCATGTGGCTCTGTATGGTGTGGCATGCTCCCTTCTGCTGGGAAATGGAAGTAATAAACTCTTCATGCAAAGGCAGTTGTCTCCATGTCTGTCACCTTACCATACCTGATTTTTAAAAATCCAGGGTACGTTTTAAAATGCCTCTCCTCACATGGAACCTGTCTTAGCCAAAAATAAACCAAAAAACCTAAGCTTAACATTTGATGCTACATAAACTAGGATTATGCTTTAGCAACACTATATTAAGAAGATGTAAAATGGAGACATTTAGAAAAGCTTTTCTCATGTGTTATAAACTGTGTCCCCATAAATTCTTATGCTGAAAGCCTAACACCCTGCACCTCAGAATGTGACCTTATTTGGTTGTTGCAGATATAATTAGTTATATCAAAATGAGGTCATTAGGGTAGACTCTAATCTAATCTAACTGGTATCCTTATAAAAAGGGGAAACTTCTCAAAATATTTCATGTACCCCCTAAATATATATACCTACTATGTATCCACAAAAATTAAAAATAAGAAAATTGTAAAAATTAAAAGGAAAAATTTCAAAGGTGAAATTTGCACACAGACGCATGCATGGGGGAAAATGACATGAAGAGACCACAAATTTCTGCTATTTAAGCCACCCAGTCTGTGGTACTTTATTACAGCAGCTGTAGCAAACCTATACATCATACGGCAAAAAAGTTACCAAGTTTAAGTCATATTTTACAGCCAAAAAAAGGAAAAAGCTTTACATAACTAACTTTATCTTGTTAGAATGTACAATTACAACTAAAAAAGTTCATTTTCAAGTGTATCATTTTTTGTTAGGTGTGTTTTTAAAAGCATATGAATTTATTTATTTATTTTATTATACTTTAAGTTCTGGGTTATATGTGCACAACGTGCAGTTTTGTTACACAGGTATACACGTGTCATGGTGGTTTGCTGCACCCACCAACCCGTCACCTACATTAGGTATTTCTCCTAATGTTATCCCTCCCCTACCCCCCACCCCCACAAGCCCTGGTGTGTGATGCTCCCCTTCCTGTGTCTACGTGTTCTCACTGTTCAACTCCCACTTATAAGTGAGAACATGCGGTGTTTGGTTTTCTGATCTTGTGACAGTTTGCTGACAATGATGGTTTCCAGCTTCATCCATGTCCCTGCAAAGGACATGAACTCAAGCATATGAATTTGAAGTGATTATTTCCTACAGTACTTAGATTGTACAGTAGGCAAATGTTACAGGCTACTTAGACCTAAACTCAAATTACAATATATAAATCCCTGCTGGTGTTCCATCCAAATAGTATTAAGTTTTTAAATAGTGGGAGATCAACTAAGTTTAAAATGCTCCAATGTAATTGGAAAGAAAAATATATAGAAATGGATCCTAAGGAAATAATTACAGATGAGGGTCAAAATCAGCTGAAAAATGGATCGGGATAACATTGGTTATGATAGCCAGAATTAAGGCAAAAAAACCTACGTGATAGTAAGAGTTAAATAAGTTGTGTTATGTTTACAATAAGATATGTTATATGATCCAAAAAATAAATAATACACTGATATAGTTTATCTGTGTTCTCACCAAATCTCATGTGGAATGGTAGTTGCCAATGTTGGAGGTGGGACCTGGAGGAAGGTGACAGGATCATGGCGGTGGTTTCTCATGAATGGTTTAGCGCCATCCCCTTGGTACTGTCTTTAGGATAGTGAGTTTGTTTTTGTGGGATCTAGTCGTTTAAAAGCATGTGGCACCTCCCCCACCCCCACCTTTCTCTGGCTCCTGCTCCTGCCATGTGAGACTCCTTGCTCCCCCTCTGCCTTCCCCCCTATCGGAAATTTCCTGAGGTCTCCCCAAAAGCAGAAGCCACTATGCTTCCTATACAGCCTGTAAAACTATGAGCCAATTAAACCTCTTTTCTTTATAAATTCCCCAGTCTCAGGTATTTCTTTGTAGCAATACCTTTGTAGCAATATCTGTAGCTAAACAGATATCCAGAACATACACACATATTCAAAATCAATGCCCCCCCCGCCACGTACAAAACCACAAAAATCGGCTCGGAGACACACGTCTAAGGACAATACACCATACAAAATACATAGAAAATAGGCAGAGTAAAATGACACCATTTACAATAATAGAGATGAAAATATCTGGTAATATACTCAACAGGACCTTTATGAAAACTTTGAAAACTCTACCAATGGAGTTAAAAGACCTGAATGAATGGAAACACACATCGTATTCTTAGATAAGGGATTCAATATCATGAGTATAATAATGGCAAAACCCTAATAAAATCAACAAGTACATATTCAAAGTGGTAAAATCTGAATAAGGTCTGTGTACTGTACCAATATCAATCTCTTGGTTTGATATTATATTACTGTCACGTAGAATGTTACCACTGGGGAAAGCTGGGTGAAAGGCACTATTTTTGCAACTTCCTGTGAGTTTACAATGATCTCGCAAAGAAAAGTTAACTAGCCTTAGGGAGGGAATTGGGTCAAGGTGGCAGTACTTCTTACCATTTACTCTTCTGAAAGTTTTTTTTTTTTATCCACAGTGTAGATATATTCTATTTAAAAGAGCATATTTTCTTCATCTAATGGCTTCAACCCTCCTAAATACCACTTTTTTCCTAAAACTTTCCTGGTTATTTTTTTCTCAAATTGATTCTATCCTGCCTAACAATATGCCTTTTTTTGTTCTCTGTATATAGGAAAAGACCCCAGCATTCCACAGATGTGGCCACAATATCATCTTGAAATAGGACCTCATTACTGCATGGAATCTTAATTCCTCATAGCAAATTTCCTGTCCCCATTGACCAGACCTCATCCTTTAAGAACAAAATCATCTTCTAGAATATACTGCAAGCCAGAGCTCACAGATATTCAGAGTAGGCTAGAGCTATCTGGGGCATGGTACCTCATAACAAGGCATCAATCTCTCATCATCTTACGTGCTTCTCAAGGATAGCTCCCTTTTTCTCTACAGACGGTACATTTCTCAGCCACCAGTTATTCACAGAATCGCAGGCACAATGCTTATAGTGAATACATACATGATGGTTAAGTGGAGAAGAACATCGACAGAGGGAACTGGGCTACTTTAGCCGTCCCTTTTGGTCTTTCATTTGCCAGAAAGGGAGAAATAAGGACTAAGACCCTAACAAGGTCTTTATGAGACAGCAAGGTGCTGAAGGAAAAGACTGAAAATCACAGGAGAAGGAAATGCCAACTTACTTGGGACATGACTTTAAAATTTTAAAGTGATTTTTGTCAAGGTGCCATGTCTCATGCCTGTACTCCCAACACTTTGGAAGATCAAGGTGAGAGGATTGCTTGAGCCTAGGAGTTTGAGATCAGCCTGGGCCCCACAGTGAGAACTTGTCTTTACAAAAAATTAGCCACGTGTAGTCCCATGCTAATTAGGAGGCTGAGGTAGGAGTAGTGCTGCAGTGAGCTGATTGCTCATTTTTCCCTCCTGATCCCTCTTTCTGAAGAGCAATTGTCCTGGGAAGGCAAAGTTAGGGAGAAAGAAAGGAGTTGTAAGATGCCAAGTCTGTCCTGCAGTTCCCAAGATCAGCTCAGAAACCCTCCCTTCCCCTGCTCTCCTCCTTTCCCTCATGTTCCAAACACAAACACGTTGTCATAAGATTCCAGACACTTGGGGACGGGAATGGTGGCTCAGGCTTGTAATCCCAGCACTTTGGGAGGCCGAGGCGGGCCGATCACGAGGTCAAGAGATCGAGACCATCCTGGCCAACATGACGAAACCCTGTCTCTACTGAAAATGCAAAAAAATTAGCTGGGCGTGGTGGCGGGAGCCTGTAGTCCCAGCTACTTGGGAGGCTGAGGTAGGAGAATGGCGTGAACCCGGGAGGCAAAGGTTGCAGTGAGCCAAGATCGCGCCACTGCACTCCAGCATGGGCGACAGAGCGAGACTCCGTCACAAAAAATAATAATAATAACAATAGATAAATAAATAAATAAAACACTGGTTTCTCTCTCACACACACACATACACACACACCACTCAATCACAAAAACTGGCTAGGGCTAGAAACCTTAGCAGGATAGTATTTTACGCTTTTAGGTCACAAGATTTCTGCTGCAAGTACTGAACCCCGCCATTGTGCAAAAGCAGTCATAGAATAGACGTAAATATACACAAGTATACATATTCAAAATCAGTGGTTCCCCACAGAGATGTACACACCGCAAAAACTGGGCTCTAGAGTCAATAGTAAACAGTTCAGGCTTTGTGGGGTCACACAGTACCTGTTGCCACCTACTCAACTCTGCGCTTCCGTAAAGGTGGATGCAGAAGCTAAACAGATATTCAGAACATACACACATATTCAAAATCAATGCCCCCCCCGCCACGTACAAAACCACAAAAATCGGCTCGGAGACACACGTCTAAGGAAACACAAAGGTTCGTCCTCACACATGTTCAGGGTAACACAATGTGGGTCTCACCTACACAAACGTGCGATCAAAACCCGGGACACCCACGCCCAGATGACCGGGACGAGGCCATACTTCACATCTTCTCTCACAGACTCACAATTACGCAACGGTCACCTCACACGACTTTATGGCGGACACTCCCGGACCTTCCGCTGCCCGCCCCTCCTCGCTGCTTCTCCCAGCCCGGGTCGCCTCACCGACCCCGTCTCATCCCCGACGCAGTCAGTCTCACCACCAGCCCGCCGGCTGCGCAGGCGCAACACCGCAAGGAAGAGCCGCAGGCCGCGCAGGGGCCTTTGGGAAATGTAGTCCGGGCGCCACGCAAAGGACTGTGGGCCTCTTCGCAAAACGTGCAGGTGAGTCCTCACCGTCGGCCGAAAGAAACATCCCTGTGCTACTCTCCCGGGTCAGTTCATCTCCGACCCGGACAGAGCAGAACCAGCGCAGTCCAAGCTTTCTTCACCTCACGTTGTGGGTGGGACCTTCCACAGCCTCGCTGCACCCCGGTGGCTTCTGGAAGTTGCAGGATGACTGCGTAGTGCGCACGCGCGGGTGAGGCCGGCTCCAAACCTCGTGAATGTGGGGGCGAAGGATGGTGGCGGGTGGGGGGCCATAAGCCCTCACACGGGAACGTGTGGGTGTGGGAGCCGGGAAGGCGGCGAACTGGGGAGGTTGCGTTTAGTTAAAGAGCTCGAGGAAGGGCCTCAGTTTCCACACGTGATCTCCTGAGAGGATGAAAAGCAGGGCCCAGCGCCCGTCCCCTAGGAGCCCGGTGCGCGTGCCAGCCCCGGGAGTATGCGCAGGCGCGGGGCCTCGAGCGCCCGCCCCCAGGACGGAGTAGTGCTGCAG